TTTTTTTTTTTTTTTTTTTTTTTTTTGCATCTGGGGTTGAGACTTTAACTTATTCCATATGTGCCATAGACTGCAAATACAGACACAGTCCTGGAAAACAATGCCAAATGTTTCCTTTAAAGTTCCATGCAAATGATATCCTTCTCACCTTTCTACACATTCCTTGACAACAGCAAAATTTCCATCTCCTATTGTCCTCCCGACTTTATATCGTTCTGTTATTGTGGCTGGAATCTGGAAGCCTTCCTCTGACACGTCTGAAAGAATCATTAGTACATTTTTATTGTTAGAAAAAGGGACGCAGATGTTGTACAAGGAAACATTTAGAAGTACCATCTAATAGACTGGAACTGATTCAGAATCTATATGTCATTTTCTGTACATGAAATGACTGCCCCCTCCCTCCCAGGACTCAACAGTTTTTATGAAGAGAAATGATAAACTAAAGGGAAAAGTATGCAGTCCACCTCCACCTATATAGAGGGAAACTGATGTTCTCTGCTTCAGTGAGAATTCTGAAGAGGAAGCTTTGCCTTTTTTACTTCATGCCATTTTGATCAATAGCATCTACTGAAAACCCACTGTGAATAGATAAATGACATTTCTATATGGCATGGGAGGAAAATTCAGTTCTTAAGGGACTCTCGGCTGCTTGACATTGTGTGAGCATGAAAAATGCCTGCTGTTTGGATACACAGTTTTACTACATCCTGAAATGGATATCTCCGTAAAATTCTTTACAAACTAAGCATTGATTGCCACCCCTCCTCAGTATCAATGAGCAGATTTTAGACAAATGTTCTCACCAGCAACCTGCACAGCAGATGTTGAGTTAAAATTGCAATATCTGTTATGTCTGTGAACAGAACAGTTTCATACTTTCAATTATGTTAGAGCCACTAACACATTGCATTTTCCCCCTGAAAATGCATTTTGAAATATTTTATAAATGTCTAATAATGTTTTAAATATCCAAGGCCATAAAATGAAATAAGCCACGCTTAGGTCACATAAATATACTGGATAACCTTTAACATGTTAGGGGTGTAAAAAGCCTTTTATAGCTGGGCTCTAACATTTACATGCTTTAAAGTTATAAATCCTAGGTCTCCCCCAGGCAATGTGAATGCAAAATGTGATGGAGGCCTAGTGGGCTTCATAAATGTGCTCCTCTTTTGACCTTTCATCATAAACCCAGACTATGTATTTCTTCTTAAATAAAAACCTTAGATGGTGAACAGGCTTTCTGGTGATTTTTGCATATTTACTTTCACTCCATGTCATTGGGGAATGTCACACGGAGACTAACAATGATCAGTTGCCTAATTTAGGACCTTTATTCTGGCTGTGTGATGGTACTGGGTCCACACCACTTTGTGTTCTAGAGTGAATGAGATTTCTGTAAAATGTTATCCAAACGGCAGGGCATTTGCGGCTACTATTGCCCTGGGCATTTATGCAGTCGCTATACCCCCTTATGGGTATCATTTTATTCTTCCCTAAGAGAAAGTTTCTAGGCAGTCTCCAGATGGGGTGAGGGCTTGGAGCCCATGTTCTCCTCTTTTTTCCTATCCAGAAAAGAAGTCATAATATTGTTTTTGTGCTAAGGAGTCAGCCTGGGGATTTTTGTGTGCTCCATGGTAAGGGGAAGAGATGACTGGGAATATTTCACATTTATTGCAAAACACCTGAATTTACAAAACACTGTCAATGACACAATTTTAAGGCTCTTTATTACATGGGTAACTTAATCATCTTTGGCTGATGGGGGTAAGTGTGACCCCATAGATTGAAATGGAAGGAGAGATTCCATTCTTTCTGCCAATAGGAACGTTCACTGGAGCACCTGTCCAAAGCACAAGGTTTGGAATTTTTTTTCCCTGACTGTTGATAAAGAGCACCTTTTACGCTTTTGGCTAAAAAGGCTCAGCCAAAGCCTTAATCAAGGGCCATTTCATTTCATTAGGTGAAAACGTATTGAAACAAAAAAGACTTGTAAGTAGCTGAACTAAAAATTTCTGAAAATGAAACAATTTCTGATATTGCATGGTAGTGAGAAAATAATTCTTATACTAATCACACATCTCGAAGTAATTAAAAAATATTTAAACTGAAGGGTTCCTTTTTGGAAAATAACAAGTTAGAGCATTTAAAGCAAATATGAGAAGCAGATTTTAATAGTGGCTTAATTGGAATATTTTTGTATTTTAAAAAATACTTTCCCCTAATTGATTTAAACTCAGTACAATCCTCAGGGAGGATACGAATATGTTTTGCAATCCTCATTTTATAGAAGAGGAACTAAGAGTTGGACAGCTGAAGAGACTTCCCCAAAAAGCATTCAATGATATAGTGAAAATTTTAGTTATGGGACCCAAGGAATTAGGTCACCTCACAGAGAAATTTTAAAGTGAATGCACTTAAGAAACAAAGAAAATTTTGCAATTATCACCAATGAATTCTTTTTGTAAAGCTGTCTTTTTAGTATATTGAATTGACTCAAACTAGAGCACATCTGTGGGGCTGTGGCTTCTTAGAGAGTCAATCGTCTTCAATACATGAAATGTGAGCAGAGCTTGGGAACACACACACAGCAGTCACCCTATCTTATTTCCAAAGCAGGCAAGAGCTGGCCTTCTAGGAAATAGATACCCTCAGAGGATGTGAGATGTCTCCCAATCACACCGTCTACTTCCTCCTGTTCTCAAACAGCCAGTCCCATTGCTGCTGGAAGCCATAGCCAAGCCTATCCCCCGTGATGCTTGAGTCTATTCATTACATTTAATGCAAGATGTAAATTAGTAAACCTATCCTCTGCCTCCTACACAAGCTGAACCCTCTCTCTAGACACCACTTCCCAAGCTCATCACCTTCCCCAGGTCCATCATTCTCATCCATCGAGCTGCAGACTTTGGTGGATGCCAGGGAAGTAGAGGAGCCACCATGTTGAGAGCTCTGTAAGGGAACAGAAATACAAAATGAAAAAAATAAGTCAGAGTGACCGAGTCTCTACATACTATGCTCAGCCTGGAATCTCAAGAGATGGCTTCACCCCCTCCCCCAGAGGATTTGTTTTTCACACTTGAAGAAGGAGGTCCTTAAAGTATTCAGTTCATGTCTCCTCCCTCTTCCTTAATCATTGGCAGGATGGTTGACTGGATCAGGCTAACCATCGTAAACACAGATGTTCCATGACTTCTTATTCCTTTTTCTCAAAATAATGTTCCTTTAGGTCATAGTTCGGGTTTGACAGACATTAGGCATCTCACCTTAGTGTTCCATAGTCTATTGCAACAGACTGCAAATATGGATGGCACTTCTGATTTTATCCACTATTATTTCTACTTTTACAACCGAAAAATTATCTTCAGTTTGCTTTTATGAAATATCCTAAAAGCATAAAGACTCTGCCTTAGCATGACTTTAGGAGAAGGGTGAGAGTGGGTTTGTTAATTTCACTTAGAGATAAAGATACAAACAATAAACATTACCAGTTGAGAATAAAACTCCAGGACTGTTGATTGATTACGTGGTGTGTTTGATGGACTTTAACCTGGTACCCATGAGAGCAAAAGGGATAACAAATGTATCATAGATTTCAATGGACAAAACAACACCAAATATTGAATATTATGACTGGCTGGAACAATATTTTAACAGTGAGTGTTTCCATCTCTATGTCTATTTTTTGAGAAAACAATTTGCACATTGTGATGCTATTACTAAATAATAAACACAGCTTGTCTTAAAAGATCTTCCTTCTGTTTCCCTGTGTTTATCCACTTGTCTGGCCTGATGGGAGCAGAGGTGGTGAGGGGGTGGCAATGGCTCATGGTGCCAACTGTCTGTGGAGCAGAGAGAAAGGAAAGAGAATCTGCAGTTGAATTGATAATGAAGAGGTGATGAGGAGCAAACGACCTAGTTTTTCTGTGCTTACCTGTTTCCCTTTAACCTTCTCCCCATTTCATCCAGCCTTAACTGTGCACAATGGAGGAAGAGAGATTTTTATATAGTTCATTGTACCCAACAGGCTCCTGCATAAAAAATTCAAAATTTTTATTTTTCATATAAAAATGCCTGTAGCGGGGGAAATACTCTCTAAATTGCTGCGAGGCAGTTTGAGTCAAACACCCTGTGACAAAGATGAGCATATCCCATTGGATTAATTCATCAGCAGTGACAACTGACACGACTGAGATGTAAGTTAATAGCATCTTCCCTATAGGAGATTCTAGAAGCCTTGTAATTCCTCATATATTTCCTTGAATGCCCAATGCCATACAGTTTGAATGATGTACCCCTTATATTCCAGTATCATCAAAATCTCCCAATAAGGCTGGTGATTAAAGCCATGAGTCCATCTTCTCTTATCCAGTCTCCTGTTGTGACTAAGTAGTACATGTTTGTCACATGTCAGATTGGAAAGAAAGATTCAGGTAGAAATCTTGAAACAAAGTTTTTCTCAGGGTGACACTATCAATTCATAATGTTCTGTGTCGAAGGGACTATAAACATATGAGTTTCTAAGCCATGCTTTGCTAAATTTTATGAATATCTATTTGTAAAAAAACTTATATTTATAATATTGGGTAGGAAGCTAAGACCCGGCAGATATATTGTGTTGATGATTAGAGAAAATAAACATTAATATCACCACATTCGAGGGGAAGGTGTGTATTTTCCAGAAAGTGAGATCCTTTATCTTCTGTGTCATTGCAGACATAATGGTGTTCTAGGCAGAAAAGCACTAAGTAACTGTCTAGGATGTAGATCTTCTCTTCTGAGCTTTCTGGTCCTTGATTTTCTTCCAACAGCATCACAAATGATGTTTAATAGTATAGACACATTGTGGTGGGGATGGCAGGTGCTGCCTTGTTATGTGGTATTTTTAAATTTTAGAATACAAAGACACATTCTTTCATTAAGCACCCAAGTTAATAGACTGATAGTGTATTTTCTAGCAAAGATGTCCACACTATACACTTAATTCCAAAAACTTGTTTTTAAAATAAGAACATTAGGTGCTCAACATAGAACGTTGACCCAAAGCATAGGAAAAACATTTTTTAATTGTAACATTTTATAAATTTTCTGAATATTATCCACTAACCAGCCTTATCCACTAATGAGCTGCATTTTCAACAGTATCACCAAATGTCTGGTCCCCTAAATGTTTGCCATGATAACAGCTGTGTTTCCTCTGCTATGTGACCAAAGTCCCTCAAGGTTTTTAGCCTTTGCTTTATAAAGCAAAAGTAGGGTTAACACAAGTTTGCTTATGTCTATAATTGCTTATTTTCAACTTTAGCTTTGTGTTTCTGAAAATGTACCCTTGGTCATTTTAAGTTTCCTGCTGAAGCTAGTAGATGACTGAAAAGTTTTAAGAGAAATAACTTATTTATTTATCTATAAATGGGGTACTCTGAAAATAGTTATTGTTTTATTATACCCAAATAGAGAAAAAATGTATTAAACTTCTATGTTGTCTCTTCTTTTTTCCAAAGATGGTGAATACTATATACTTTTACAAGAAAATGATCATTAAAAGTACTTTAAGGATGTGTAGGAATTTAAAATATTATCTATCCTACTGCCATCTAAAGACCAAAACTCCACCTCAGGTTGCCCAGCTAGGTGGTCAGATGGCTTCTGTCCAAACACTACCAGTCCCAAATGTAATGAGGCAGCTGGTTCATCATTGCTATGAGACAAAGTAGAATCATTTAGCTATGTGGAAGTATGTCCCTCTAGATTTTCTATTTAATATTTCTATCCCTCACCTCTAGAGTCATTCAGTACAGGTCTAATCCATTTCCCACACAAGAGTGCTTCAGGTTTCTGGAACAGTTACTCGCTCTTCTGTTGTCTACACTTTCTCCATTTGCATACTATTTCCACCGGGTTATTCCCCTTTGCTTGTTCATCCTGTGACCGAGATCCTAGACTCTTTCACCCCTTTGCAGACACTCTTTAGCTGTGAATTCCTCTTTTTAAAGCTGATGCCCCAAACAGTGCAAATTCCTAGTTGTTCTCTGACCACCCCAGAACAGGGAAAGATAGAGGTTTCTTTCTTGTGAATAAAATATCATTTGCTTCAGGTTTATATTGGCTCATTATACTCTGGTTTCTCCTTAGATTGTATATTGGCTCGTCAGTGGTGCCTTTGTTTTGACCTTTCATTGTGCTCACCAGTGTGTCTCATTTACATATTCTGTGTTCAAGATGCTGGTGTTTTGGTCCAAGATTTCATATTTATTCATATTAAATGTCATCTTTATTATATACATATTTACTCTACCTGTTGTTTTTTGGATTCTGATTTTGTCGCCTAACATTTCTATGCACTCTTTCTTTCTCAGCTGAGGTCACTTTAGTAAACAGTGTGGTTCTTTGAGTATGGCAGTTACTAAATCACCTAAACACCAACTTAGACTCTCCTGAAACATTCTGATAATTACTCAGAAGTCTGAAGGATTTTGAAAATAGCACAGAGAAATCATATAAGTTCTTATTCTTTAGAATGGACTTAATGAGATTAATCAGCCTTTATTTTCAACAGAAGCTGAAAAGCCTATCTAAATTTTTGATTGCTTCAAAATAGGTTTATCTATTTGGTTTTTCTGAGCAGATAAACCATATTAGATAGTACATGCCTATAAGATTTCATTTCAGTCAAAACATCTGGAGGTACAGTACAAAACACAGTTATTTTAGAATTTAATGCAATTAGCTTCTCGGAGAGACACTGTGACATTTGAAATGTCAGCACCTTCTCCCAATTTAATGGGAACCATTTGGGCAGGTTGCTGACACCTGGATGCTTTTATAGCACACCTTCATAAAAGAACTGCCTTAGGCAATAACACATCCTAAGTGGAGCTATTTAGTTTGGGATCCCATAACAGATGGAGAACATATACTTTTTGAAGTAAGTGAGAAAACTAACATAACAGCTTTAACCACATTATACCAAGATGTAGATATGATGACTATGTAGTAAAAAAAAAAAACACAAAAAAAACCCAGATCATTTAAAATGTTATGAGTTACTTCTGCCACTTGTATCTATGTCATTCAGTTGGGGTTAGTGATGCATTAAAATTTATAAAATATCCACTTAATGCAATTGATCCAATCAAGGTACACAAACTTTACTAGACAACTTTAACTGAATAATTTAGTTGAAGAATTATAGTATTTCCACTTCACTTTTCATCATGGCATATAGTTCGCTATGACTTTGTTTAGTTACTATTTATTTGGAAAAATGGTTAAAAAGAATTTAGAAGTCAATAGTTACTATCATATGCCATCTGGATCTACTTTAAAAAGGTTAAGTACATTCAATAAATACTTAATAAACTAACAGTTGGTGATCTTGACTTGAGGCTTGCAGACATTTTGTTGATGACCTGATATAACAACATTAAATAATAATCCTTGTGCAGAGAGTTTAAAACCCATAGAATAGTAAGTAGTACAGAAAAGCCATGCATTTATTTACTTTTCAAGTGGTTACAGAACACTTAATTGTAGTATCAACCTGCAATTATCCCAATATTTGAAATAAAACACAAACGGAATTCCTTTTCTTCCCCAAATTCCTTTGTTTGCATTTTTTTCAATATTATGCTCAGCTAAATAAACTTTATGGCATAGGCAGTCATGTGCACAACTAAGAATGAATATTAAAAAAATCAAGGGCCAGGAATTTAGCTCAGTGGCGCCACACCTGCCTCGAAAGCACAAGGTCCTGAATTAAATCACTGGTACCAAAAAACAAAAAACAAAAAGCAAAGCAAACAAACAAAAAAATCAAGATGAAGATTTTAAATTTCATAAAGGTTTTGTTAAATTGTTTAAAAGGCTAGAGAACTGGCCAGGCACAGTGGTGCACACCTGCAGTCCCAGTGCTCAGGAGGCTGAGGCAAGAGGACTGCCATGAGTGAGAGCCC